TGAAGGATGGTTTGGTAGTGGTAGATTCCTTTAAATAAAATTCAGAAAAATCATTTACGAATTTTTTTGCTAACATCTGTATGTATCTATCTATAAATATTCACCATGAAAACCTACTCGTTTGGTAAATAATATACAATGACAAACTATTCAACATATTTATCAGGTGTGCGGCAGCTTGACAAATACTAATGTTGAATCAGAACCATATATTGATGCAATTTAAATCACTCGATATACTCTACCACCCGGCAAATGATGCTTTATATACGCCCACGTCCGTCGGTTATGTACTGATTGTTTTTAGTTTACTATGAACAATATTATCATTTTTAGCTGCTATCTGTGTTAAGGTGGAATTTGTTTTGTTTCGTAAAAATTGTCTAGAGTACCCACGCTCTTTCAGTTTTGAGAAAAAACAATCGTACAGGCTTGGTTGAAATCAGAAAAAAACTTGTGACTTAATTATACCAGAAAAGGTATGTTTTGGGTGAAAGGAGCTCTTGTGCAAGAGTTGATGAGTATCAGTTTCTTTGAAATACACTTTAATATCCAGTTTATTTGTTTCTGCTATAGAATCTCCCTTAAAGACAGTGGTATCGAGAAAGTTAAATCACAATTTTTCCGCATTAAAAATATAAAACCTTTTCTTCAAACATTTACAGAAAATTGTTTTTTAATATACTTTAATGAGTTTCAGCTAGCCAGGCAAGGTAATATACGCCCACTGGCAGCTTTGATTTTAAATAAAAATATTTAGCAATACAGTAACAATTACCAGAATGAAATATTCAACCTTCAGAAATACACTTCTTTGGAACTTTTTGGCGTGATACTGAACAATAATTCAAGCAAGAATCGATTTTTTGACTTCAATAGAGTTCATCCGTGGATGTAAATAAAAAAGGTTTCTTCTAAATCCGCCGAGAAATCATGTTCCCTAAGCAACGGTAGTGTTTACAACAACAAAAATTGAACGCGTGATTAAAAACACTCCCTTCCAGTTTCGTTAAAATCCGTCAAGAATTGTACATTCTAGAGTGTTTACAGGGAATGTGGACGGACGGATATCACATAATTGTACACCAAGCAAGGTTTCCTGCTGATAAAGCACGACCATAACTGTCAAATGTCCGACCAAAATAATTCAAGGTATCTATTTCAACGGGTATATGAGAGAGCCATGTACATGTAATTGTACAACTATCTGTTAAGGCCATATACACTGACCTAGCCTAGATATGAATCAAGGTCATTTGCCATCATGGCATCTTTTAGTCTAAATTACTCAAAATTGTACCTTTTGTATCATTGTCTTTTGCTGTAATGATTTGGAATGGTAGATTATCACGAGGGTAGATTTTTTCTCAATTTGATATTGTGTTTTATCACACCGAATTACATTAATAAATTAAGAACAATAATTCTGGGGTCTGTTTTCTGCATTTATGGAAGGGTATTTATTTTATTGCTGATGTATTATATAACGGGTCTTTCAATTCTTTGTTGGGGATATTTACTGAAATAAACATTGCTGTTGAATTGAAAATTGAAGTTGTTGTTCAGATTGTAGGTAGCAATATGAAACTTCATAAATTTTGGACAAGTTAGATCCAGTGGTAGATGGTGTCGAATCAGATAAATCTCTGGAAGATGATGACGAGGTACAATACACTCGTATTCCATCTCCTGGATGGGGTAAAACAAAATCAGCATCCACTCTTAAGCCAACTATTCGATCGAATTCTCTGAATAAAACAACTTTTGAACAAGGCGATACAGTAATTCGATCTTAGGGAACCTTCAACAACACCGACAAAGTACTTCTTGAGGTGTTTAAACCAAAAAATTTCAAAACTTATGCTGAAGAAGGAAATCGTAATTTGTCTTAATTTTGGAAACAATCCAGATGAGATACAAAAATTTATCAGAATGTCAATTCTCATGGCTAATTTGGTTATTTCCAAGTATACGCATGTTGTGCCAGGATTCAACTAAAGTAAGTAAAATTTCGATCGGCATGCCTTTAAATCATAGAAATCTTCATATCAATTCTGATAAGGAGCGTGAGGATGGTGTACCAACAGATTTTGAAAAGTTCAACCTTTAACAGATGCTGTGCGCAATTACTGACGGCAACTTCCCCGTGAAGAATACTGTGCTGTTGGTAACAGTTCATCAAGAGTAAACCAAACCCAATGGGAGTGAAAAACTTATTCGTGGAACATGTGGAAGAGCCATTGATTTTTCAGCTATACCAAGTAGCAGGAACAGGCATTCAAGAAGCAACAAAACATCTTTGGGTTTCTACTGTTTTGAAACTGTCTGAAACTATACCAACCAACAAAAACTACAATGTGTGTTTCAACAACTGTTTCACTTCTGTAGGAGCTGAAAATGAAGGGGATATATTCGCTTGGAGTAGTAAAATCAAATAGATTGGTAGGTCGCATACTGAAAAGTGATAACGACCTAAAGAAAGAAGGCAGGGACTGTATTGATAGAAATATTTCTGCAATTGTTAAATGACAGGATAATGGTTATATTGCTTCAACGTTTGCAAGAGAAAGATCAAGTTAAACGATGGAGCGAAAGTGCAAAAGAGCACATTTACATAGATCGGCCAAAATGCATCCTCATTTCTTTGTACAGAATAAAAGCCAAGACCAACAAATTGCCGGTCAGAGTAATTTTTCACTTGATTGGTGTTGCCTTGGCCAATTCTTGGTTGGAATATAGATATTATATCGAATATGCGCATGGTACATGACACTAGATGAAGTGAAATTTTCTTCATTTTTTTCCACGTCGTTTTCCAGAGCAGATTAGGTTAGGTTTCATGAGTTAATAATCAAAAAGGCTCCAAGAAAACATTGCTAATCGACTTTATAGGATTTCCAAAGCTATTGACATTCATTCCTGTTGCATAACACTATGGTTGTATTTTTGTTTCTATTTCATGAAACTGTTTAAGCAGTATTAGCAAAGAACCTGGTATATTTTTTAATCCCAAAGGCACAATGTGTGAGCCGCTTTAAGGAGAACTGTTTGCAATCATATGATTCTTTTTCTGTTACTTCTTTGCTGGGTAATGTCATTAAATCTATGGAACTTTTTAACAATCAGTCATAATATATCTGCATCATCAGCTAATATCATAATATTCTCCACAAATTTTTGTTCATCATACTACACTTGAAACAATGGTTAAGACAGTTTGTCTGGCTTTGGTCCTTTTTGTGGTACCTGTTTCACTTGTTCTGTGGACTCGGCTTTCACTCTCATGCAGTGTCGAACAGTTCGATGTCAATGCACTACTACACAACTTTTGCTCTCAAATCTGCCATGCTTAGGACGAGATTTTGATTAACGGAATTGTCTTTCTTGTACAGATTTTTTCTTGATCTCTATTTCTGGATCTTAGTGTGTCTTTATCACCATCGGAACTTTTTTCAAAACAACCTTAGTTGAAACGAAACATCTGTTTCATCTGATCTGTCTTCATCAACGCCATTTTAATAAGGAAGATCTTCATCCTATCTCGGAACTGAGAAACCATAGGTCATTTTAAGACTCGGCCCTCTTTTATTACATTAACCAAACAATGCCGTCTAAAATTAGAATTTTCGCAGCCGACACAAATATACATGTACTTACTGATAGGAGATCCAACTGCAGCTACTTTTAGTTCAGATATTGAGAGTAGATGAATGGACAAGCAACTTAGGTGCTCGGATTCGTGCTTCGCCCGACATCTATAGCCTTCAGAATTGTCGGGCTTTCCAGCCTGCCCCTCCATCAGGTCTTTGGCTTAAAAGCCTATGACCAATGATACATTTTATTAGCATTTTTGATCCATATCTAACGTTCTTCTTATTAGCTTTCTTTGCAAACGTTTGTCCTCTGATGTTTTAGAAAACAAAAGCACGTGACAATCGGGACATAGTTTCGGTAAATTATGGCTGCAATTCATTTACGTGATATGTTGTAGAGTGCAAGGATAATTTCTACTATGGACCGTTTTGTGACAATTGACGGATTGTCAATCTGAATTGATTTAATATCAAGCCGTTTAGTAAATGAAGTGTACAGATATGTGCGAGTCAAGGACGTTAAATTTAAAACGTCAAGACGCATTTAATTCGGGCCTGCGTTTCTTACAGCTGTCTCAACAGTAGTTCATAATGCCTAAATATGGAACTAAGCCTCAAATAAATGAATTATCTTTTGACACAAAATATTCTGCAATATGTAGCGAACATATTGTTACAGTTGACTTTCTGAAACAGAAGAAAAGAGGAGATTAGATAGCTCTGCAGTTTTATCTATTTTCAATAGTTACCTATCATATAAACAACCGACTGTCACAAAATGCTGACCTGCTCAAAAAGAAGGTTCGAAGCTACTCTTCCCTCCCTGTGAAATGTAAAGTTGCCAGAAAAGGGAAGATAACTATACGTCTTCAGAATCTTCGGACTGAACATTTTAAGATATAAGAACGATTGACAAATGTATTGAAGAAAAAAAAGTTTTAGGTACAAGCTGTTGAGAGACAAAAATCTTCTGCATAAAGTCGATGATCTTACTTTAATACAAAAGCAGCATATGAGCTTAATAAAACTACACTTATTGAAACTGAATTGAGTGCTTTGAACAAAGAACCATGAAGATTGACATATTCGGATACTTTAAATTAATCCTGTGCTTGATTCGGGTTTGTCAGATGACAAGTTAACGTTCACTTCCTGCGGATGCTGATATTGCAAACGAGGCTGTTGTTGAAATCGTAATAAGTTAGATTAAGAGGCAGTAATTAGCTTAATTAACAAACACGACTTATTAGCATTTAGCACGATAAATTAGCGAGGTATACTAATTCGACCCTCTCTATACAGACATTCACTTATCATCTTTTAACCAACCATCTACATTAGTCTTCGATACAGTTAACGGAAGCAGACGTTCTACAGAGAAATAGACCAGAAGAAATAGAGACAAAGATGAACTTTATGTTTATAATCGTTGGATTTCTGATTGTCTCAACAACTTCAGCATCTCAAGCAACTACTAGTCCAACAACCAATTCTTTGAATTCTACACAGGACAATATAAATGGTTCAATTCATGTTGAGAACACCTGTTTGGAATATAAACCCCAAAGCTGTTCCGGCGTTTGTGGTCAGTTCTTTGCTTTATGGTGCTCATGTGATAAATATTGCCAGGTTTATGGACGATGTTGTTATGATTATGAATCAGATTGTAAAGAAGAATCAGAGAAAGCCAAACAAGATCATGAGAATTTGATGAACGTGACGGTAGAATGTGACAGTAATATATCAGGATATAACGTCCCTCAACAGGTAACTACTATCTTATATTCTCTGCTTGTATTCTAGCAAATCATCACTAGATTGATACATAGGTACATATAAACATCTTCAAAAAATGTCTAAAAAAAAAACTGTTCATATTGTTTATCATCGAATTACCATCAAATAGTCTTTTTTTCAAAATTAATACTTAGTTTCACATTTAAATTATGCTATTTATGCTTATGTGTTTTTGATTTCATTATCATTTGCACATGCTTATATTTGATCATTCGAATACTCAAAACTACATATTCACGTGTAAAGATATAATTATACTGTATTTTTCGTGGTGCACTATCTTTCCGGTCTCACGATTGATATATTTCAAGTTTTAAAAATAAAAACATTTTAAACAGTGCCTGAAACATGTTCCCAGAGTTATCTTTAAGATGGGTTTCCTTGTTTTTTGGGTCAATTGAAGCAAACTATTTGATTTATTGGTGTTTCTCATGAAATATCACGTATTCTTAATAATATCACTATGTTCTTATTGCATGTAATTAAGAGTTCTTACCTATCAAAAATGTCTGTATGTACAGTCTGCATAAACACAAAAGACTTGACCTTTCTTGATCGGTCACTCATTGGAATTCTGCTAATTTTGCTAATTATGAATTACTTATGGACATGTGAGACAAACTGGTATTTTTCAAAGTTATTAGAACCCCTCTACTTTCTATTTATAAAAGTTTTATCATTTTCATTTTCATAAATAAAAATATAAGGAACCCCAGCGTGATATTCTAAGTAACAACATGTTTCAGGTTCTGTTTTAATATTTCTTTATCGCTCTACAACTATTAAACATTGAAATTTGTTATACGCCCACATGAAATTGGGCGTATATTGTCACCCTTGTCGGTCCGTTCGTTTACAATTGCTCGTAAACACTCTAGAAGGCACAATTCTTGACTGATTTTGACGAAACTTGGTATGATTGTTTGTAATCATCCAACGATGAACCCTATTGAAAAATCGAAAAATATTTAGTATGAGTTATTGCCCTTGCTCTTGAAATGCTCGTCAACACTCTAGAAGGTTCAATTATTGACAGATTTTGACGAAACTTAGTGTAAATATTTGCTATCAACAAAGATGACCCCTATCGAAAATCAGAAAAATATTCAGTATGAGTTATTGCCCTTGTTCTTGAAAACGCGTTCAATGTTTAGTTCGTCAATACTCCAGAAGGTACAATTCTTGACGGATTTAAATGAAACTTGGTATAAGTGTTAGTAATCCCCCAAGGATGAACCCTATCGAAAATCAGAAAAATATTTAGTTCTTGTAAACGCGTTCAAGATTTAGCCTGTAAACACTCTACTAGTAATTGTTACTGTACTTCCAAATATTTTTATTTAAAATCAAAGCTGCCAGTGGGCGTATATTACCATGCCTGGCAAGCTATCTTTCAATATTTATATTATATTTAGATTATTACAAGTTGTTCTCTAACCAATATATCCCTCAAGACGATAGAATTATGTGAAGAAGAATCCAGATCGTCGGTAATTGTGTCCAAAGTGATGTCAAAAATGACAGGGATACATTATAAAAACCGATATTGTATGTTATGTAATGGCGAAGACGAAGATGATATCGTTTATTGGCCCACAATGATTGGATCTTATAGTCGTAGAAAAAGGTTTAACAGTATGACGAGCATTTTGGAATTATTTCTTAATTCTGTAAAAATTATCCCCCCTCCAAATTCAAAGGAAATCATTTGTTATCCCAGCATGGTATCGTCTTGCTCACCTAATGCTACACAGGAAGAAAAACGCTCGTGTAGAGAAAGTCTCCAATCGCCTATTAGACACGAAAAGTTAATATACAAAAACACATTTTGCCTTCAATGTAATGGTATATTGGAACCGACTGACAATTGCTTTCCGGCAAAAAGAAAGGATTTATATTATGGCACATATGAACAATCTTTCAGTTTGTCCATGATTTTCAATTGGAAGAAAAATAGAGAAACATTTGTCCTTATTGATTCTCCAATGAGTCTGGTGCAAAATATGTCTTGTTCTCTTGATGACAATGAAAATTTAAAGGAATGTTCAGTAAGACAATGTGTTGGTACGATTCAAGTAATCAATAATACCTGTCAGTTACTACCAAACCATTTTGGCTGTATTCTGTACATTTTCCGAATTAATTTCACTGTTCCTTCTAATTCATCCAGTGAGATGACACAAGAAGTAGAGCTTATTTCCTCCAAACTAGTTCAGTTAGCTGCCCATTTTGAACGTATGCATAACGTAACCAAATACTATAGTACAAATGTAACGCTGTATAATATATCCTTTGTGGATGATCATATAACAGGTATAATTATACTCAATAGAATGGCTTACTATTTATGCAATAGTCAATTTGCGTTTGTATCATCCACTCGATATTATGAGTATTTAGATTCTAATTTGGCTTTCAATCGTAATGGAAGTATTTCTACAAAAAGATATTCAGTTGGCTGCCATTATTGGTGTAAAAACACGGAGGACGTGGAGGTAACGATAAGAACGAATCTGAGATACCAGCGCTCTTTTACTAGACAGGCTGAAAATGATATTGATCCGACGTCTTCTGTTACCAATTATACACCAATTTCAATATACTTAATATCTTTGACAAGTATTTTGGTGGCCCAATTCGCACAAATTTTGTTAATAAATATATAGATCTAGAATTGCGGCTAACGTATCTGATCTTGATCTAAATCTGCATGTATATATTGATGAGATCTCAGTCAAGTTCGAAATTGGTAATAATCGGATGAATGGTTTCAGTGTTATTGCCCTTGACTTAGTAAAAACGCGTTAAATTTGGCTTGTATGCATGATAAAGGCTAAACTTTTTATTTGATCTTGATGAAACTTAGTATGTATGTATATATTGTTGAGATCTCTGTCAAGTTCGAAATTGGTAATAATCGGTTGAAAGGTTTCAGAGTTATTGCCCTTGATTTAGTAAAAACGTTAAATTTGGCTTGCATGCATGATAAAGGCTAAACTTTTTATTTGATCTTGATGAAACTTAGTATGATTGTAGATATTGATAAGACCTCAGTCCAGTTCTAAATTGGTACTATTCGGATGGAAGGTTTCAGATTTATGTATATATTGATTAGATTTCTGTCAAGTTCGATATTGGTCATAATCGGATGAATGGTTTTGGAGTTTTTGCCCTTGACTTAGTAAAAACGCTTCAAATTTTGCTTGAAACAGGGTGCGGTTTTTATCTGATCTCAATGAATTTTGGTTAGCATGTATATATTGATTAGATCTCAAGTTAAAATATGGTATTAATTGGATGATTGGTTTTGGAGTTATGACCCTTGAATTAATTCAATGCGTCTAATTTGGCTTGATGAAACTTGGAATGAAACCTTAGTAAAGATTGAAATTAGTAACAATCGGAGGATTGGTTTCACATATTTAATCACTAGAGACTTTGTTATCATTTCTGACAGCTGGTATTGGGCGTATGTTACCTTGCCTGGTAATCTATCTTTACTCACTCACAGGACAGATTCAATACATATATTCCTCGATCAGTTAGATTTCCATAATATTGTTCTTCATTATTATGCTACCGAAAACGCGAAAGGTTTAGCAGACAGACGTCCGTCGTTCATTTCAAGCTTTATTACATATACGGTCGGCGATATAGGAATTTAGGACACGATTATTTGACTATTTGTAGATCTAATTGTCCAGTAGAATTGAAATATAGACTAGTTGTTCATTATGTATAAGTTTCCTGTACTAATCTATTCTAACTTTTTTTTTTCGTTTTGTGTTAAAGGTTTTCATGCTTATTTTTGCCTTTATTTTTGTTATTTCAATTCTAATATTAAAGTTTATTATCATTTACTTTGATATTTATTTGATGAGCTTGCACATTACATAGATTATTTAATAGGGTTACTATATTTTGCTTCTTTACGCCCATGTAAATCGCCCCGGCTTGTTCGAGTTCACAAACTCTAGAGTGGTCTTGGTTGAAATTGAGGATATTTCTATCATTGATGTCTGAATTTTATCCATTGACATAATAAGACTATTTCCGTTATTCCGGCATTAACATGACCAGACTATCACAAAGAGAATTCAAAGCGGAATGAAACTTGCGATAGTGATGTCCTAATCTTTTATGTTTCGTTCGTAATCGTTCACAGATTCTCAGATGCACCTAACATAGGCTACTTGATCTCTATAATGAGTTTATTCTAGTTCGCGTGGTTGACATCAAAACTTCAAAGTCCTCCTGTTAATTAAAGCTTGCCATAAAGAATCCCGTATAACAGCGTTTTATGACAACCGACGGGAATTGTTTAAGCATAACATGCAAAAGTCAAAATACAGCCTATTCTGAGAAAACTTCTAATTGAACACATAAGAATGTTTTTCATTTCCAACGGTAAAAAATCCGGCGTCGGCTTCTGGTTTATTATTTTTAGTTAAATGGGTCGTACATATAGCCGCAAGCATTGAACAAGATATTCAAATTTATTTATCACAAACAGAAGACAATGTTATGGAATAAGCACACTTCTTTAATAAAATATTAATCCATAATAATGTCTTGTATTTGTATGTACTCATTTCTAAATGTCGTTCAACTCAACATGTTAACATTGTTTGTATATTAGTTAAAAATTATTATTTTAAAATATATATTAATATTTTCTAAATATATTTTAATAATTACAACGAGGCCTGATGAGATGACAGTTAATTTCCTTTCACTAATTAATCACCCATAACTTAGACAATTCTTCACCTAGTATTATATAGCATTATATTAATTAATTTACCTCTATTACAAAATATATAAAATTAATATTCTTATAACACACTAAATAGTGTCCAAAACACGCCCCATTCGTTATATTTCTCAAGACCGCGGTAATACAAGTGAGAAATATTACATATTCATAGGTCAAAATTGGCCCTGCTGTCTTGCCAGTAACATTTCAGCAAATCAAATCAATTCACTCGTACCCTTTAAAGTTTGGTTGCCTTATTTTCATTTATTTATATATATCTATATTGATTGTGAAAAATACCATTTTGTCTCAGAAATAATTAACTCGCTAATTAGGGGATTCCAATTACCGAGCGGTTACTTAATAAAGATCATCAGGTCTCAATTCCATCATAAAATAACAATTTCCATAAATGAGGTAACTATGTGTGCCTTTTCGCAGCCGAACATTACAAAAACAGCCAAATACCAACCCGAATTTTTTTTAAAATTTCAATGGTTATGTTTCAAAATAGGCAAAAAGACAATGTTTTTTTTAATTTCTAAATACACAGTGTATTTAATTACATTATTTCTAATTTAGAAATATGTCTTTTAAACACGGTTTGGTTATTAATTTTTTATATGAAAATGTGGCTAGATTATCAATCTCTATTTTAGTCATTTAGTGAACAAGTAATCTATTTTTGGCTTTTTCAATCTGATTTCAGTAAATTTGATCCCTAAGCTTTTCTACATCTTCACACAATCTAAGCACTCAAGAGTACTTGATTCATTCGTTAGAGACATCAATTAATCAAACAATAGGCATGATCATGTTAACTCGTGTTCTAATTTCATAATAGAAAGGGGTCAGACCCGAGCTTTTAACTGGGTCAAAATGTACGTCACAGGAGTCTCATTTCTAGAAAATAATACTGTTCGGTTGCGACCAAGTTAAACCTTAGCTCAAATCGAAGTCATCCACAAATGTTAAAGATGAAATCCTAAGTGATGATGCCAAAGGCACAAAAATAAATGATTTGAACCGCAATGCTCAAAAAAATACTGAAATATTTAAAAGTGTGAACAGCAAATTCGATCACTCTTGCGAAATCTAATATCAGAGAGACGATAGCGCTGTTATAGAACCAGGTAATAAGCTGAAAAATACTAAACTGTTATCAAAGAAATGCTGCTATGATCAACAAAATTATTTAGAATTAAGTCAAAACAAAACAATATTGCCGCCATCCTCCAAACCTGATTGTCGTGAGAGATTTTGCTTAAGCACCTTGGGAATCCTAGTTACTGTAGCAACGGTATACGATGTTTCTAATGGTGTCAAATTCTTGCAAAAGTAATAAAAGATATGTACAAAAATATGTACCAAAATAGCAAGCAAATTAACCAGCAAAGTGAACAAAAATGTTTGGATGCAATTACTTTGTTTCAACTATTCTAAATACAACAACCAACATATTTTGCTACCAGTCTGGAATATTTAACGACGACACTACTGAAATGCTATGAGAGTCTGCAGAGAAATTCCCCCATGTCTATAAACAAATGATTCTTGTCGCATATCAAAAGATAGCATACCCACTCCCAGCTGTATCGTGCCTACAAGAAAGGCGGACGGACCGACGGCAATGTGTACATTTGCATGTGGGCGTATTAAAACCAGAACACAAATGAAAACATTGTTCATAGCAAACTCAAGCCTTTCAGTATGTCACAATCTAAACTGTCGCATGAGGGCGAGTTATTATTTTATCCATTTTAGAAGAAAAATACCCAACAGTTCCAGACCGATTATTCCATTTTCTTCTTGTTCCATCCGAGGACTGTACATTTGTGAGAATCAAACACTCCCTTCTCCTAGATCAAATATATGAAAATTACGATATTTTTCGGAATTATTTGTAATAACACGACATTCTATTGGAAATGTCATCTAAGCCACCTTAAATGTCACAGAATGTTCCTACCAATAAGTGATATCAGTTGCTTTGATGAAAATCAGGATCATCAAATATATAAGATAGAAAATATACTCTGATCCAACACAAGGCAAATACAAGTATTAGAGTCTATTTCAAGGCTATTAAGACTTTTTTTTAAATGCGTTACTTGAAACTATGCTCTCAGTTACCATTTCATAATTTGGTCTCTGGATCTATACGTATTGAAAATAGTAATACAATGGCAAAAATATGGAATCGCATTTTATCTAACCAGTAGAAGTTATTTCCCCTCAACTGAAAAACTCAAACAACTGAAGCGGATTTTTGTGGTTTGAAACAAAGGCATATGTAAAGGAGTCAAGGTGTAGTTTCCGGTCCTTTGTGGATTATCGATACAGTGGAGAATAAAAGAATCTAATCGTCGCATGTAACCTATAACACGTGCATTCGTTTCTCATTTCTCCTACTAAATTGATAAAATGATAACAACGTAAGTACTAACTCAATGCAAAACAACATTTTGGCAAAACATTGGAAACAGCATAAGAACTATTCATATAAGGAAGTATATCATAATACAAAGTGGTATCAGGTGTCTATGAGAAAAGCATACCCTGCTTACACCACACTACTAATAAGTGTTTGCCGTAAAATACATATTTATTTTACATGCCTATCCAGTAAGGATAATATGTGTCTGTATTTGGATTGGCGAATTCACTTGCATAGGAACTGTTTGGTACCATAAAGTCTTTGTAATAAATTACTGTTCCGTTGTTTTTATTGAGCCAAGCTGACCAAAATCCGTAAGTTCCAACTGTTATAATTGTATGGTCCATAATGGATAATAATGCCATGTCTATTATACCTGAACCAACAGGCGCTATAATTACGTCTATCATATCACTAACCACGTCTATGGTCCATCTTAGATCCATTGAACACACAATGAAAGTTATATTGGAATACTTATTACGCATATAGTCCATAGCGCTATGTATATACTCTCTTGTGGCTACCTTATAACCGAATTTCTGTTTATTTTTCCCCAGGTAGTCGCCACGCCTGATGTGCACACCCACCAAAGTCCGATTGAACGATTTGCGTTTTATTTCACCACCGTATTTTTCTGAAAGCAAATTTTCTAGCTTCAAGGTCGCAGTTTTAACAATTTCATCACGAAAGGTTAGAATACTCCTAACTTCATCCTGATATTTCTCAAAATATTTATAACTTTGAAGATAATTAGAAACTCTAAATGATTTATTATTCGGCATATCCATGATCTTTCTGTCAAATTTACAGCAACCGGAAGCTCGTACAGTTTTCACATGATCACACGCTTTCCTCTTCTTATAAAATGTTCCCTTTACGTGAAATACTGATTCCAACTCGTCAGTTCCTTCTGGAATGGAAAGTTTCATCCCCTTGCTTCGAGATATACCATAGGCAGAGGCAAACATATATAACGCATTGCTAAAGCGTCCACCTCCAAAACCCGTGCAAATATAATGTGTTGAATTGTCTTTTTGCATAGAAACTGTTCTGTTCGAAGTACTTTTTTTGACTATGTCTTGATCTATGTGAATTTCTCTGTCCGGTGAACGAGAAGTCTTGTGTTGATCAATGTTGTTTTGTCGCAAATCATCATAAGACTTGTTAACTTCCTTATTAGAATATACTGAGGCATTTTCCATCAGAATAATACCAATTGAAAACAGATAGAGAAGAAGCAATATACCAAACACTGAAAATATAATAAAATATTTTAGTATCGTATAGTATAATAGTACTTATTAAAGAGACAAATTTGCCATTTTGAGCCTTGTATATTATGTAGATAATCTTCAGAAATACTAGAAATGTACGGAAATCGCATAATTCCTTCAAAAACATCTTAAATAAGGAATTTCTTATTACTATCAATGCCTTTTCTATATACAACAGTGTCTCAAGACGAGTCGTCTTTTTAACATGCAATTGCGGATAATTCTGGACGCCCATGGATTTGTGAGCTCAAATTTCGATGGTGAGTTGTGAACACTATTACTGATTGGCTTAGCGTAAAAATTTCCGTTTCTGAGACTAAGGAACGATTAGTCAAAAAATGGAGAAACTGTCCCTTTAATCTATTTACGACTAGCCAGAAATGGAATACACGACGTTTACTTTTTGAACCTCATTGAAATAATGGAGGCGGACAACGCAGTTTTCATGGGGAGAGATATTTACAAGCACGTTTCAAATTGTCCAAAGATATTTAGCTTGCACAGGAGGCAACAGTTTATAGACCCCACCCAAACGGCTGGAAAATATTTTCGAGTCAGTACCTTAACGATGGTACACCTATTCCTGTATCGAACAGCGGTCCTCAAATACATAGATATATGAAACTCCGTAACCAAGATCCCAGATTAAATAGAAAAAAATAATTATCAGAAATCATCATACTAATTTTATCGCTGTTTTTATCTTCTAACATACTTAAAAACTAAAACTCTGTTTTTTGCTCATCTTTCGAAATATGGGTATTGATGTTGAATGACTATTATTTCTTTAATGTCACTTTCCTTATAAGTATTGCGCTAACAAAATACGGGTAGGCCTACATGTATTTATTTCCTATGAAAAGTGTTTTCATATAATTCTGACAGTAAATTGTGGAATTTTTAAAGAAACACTCCCAACTCAAAAATATATATATATCAAAAATTACCTTGTTCAATTTTAGTGTGCTTGCGACCAACCATGTTTAAGTCAAAATATTCCGACTAGTTTGAGCCACAATTAACACTTAATAACTCCAACTTTTAAGAAAATTATCGTATCATTTGTGTTGGCCTAAAGCTAGAATAATAATCATGGGTTGTTATACCCTAATAATCTTATTACGTGCAACTGTAGATAATGGTGGAAAAGATAATATGCATTGGACTATCATCCATCTATTATGCCCAAATTCCATCTTACTACGATTTTGAACAAGAACGCACACAACCTACTATGTTGCTATTATAATTATGAAAATAGTATTTAACCAAATATTCTTTTGACCCAATCCTTATTTCTGCCCTTTGCATTTTGTGAGAGAATGAAGGAATTTGATTGGTGAAAGCAAAAGGTTATTTTTGACGAACGTTTAAGTCTTTAGACCTTACCTGAAGTGGCTATATTAAAAATAAAAGCTAATTAGAACGGAACGAAAGATTGGTCTAATTTTAATTCAGACCAGATCATAAAAATGGGTGTGTAATATATTGCCTACTGAAAGAATCGCGTCTTTTATAATTCTCTTTTAATTTCCCTTTATTTTAAATTAGTAGAAAACATTTTCCTTACTCAAAGAGAAGCCTTATCAGCATCGTGTCACCGGATCAGTAATTTTATCATCAATTATTATACTTAAAGGATTGAAGATATACGTCAGATTATGAACAGATTAAAGGATCAGGCCTGGGGTCCTGAAGACTAAAAAAATCAACCCCCAAGCGAGTAATTTATCACTACTTCTCATCTCTGACAATAATAATACAAAAAGTTTTATTCTATATTTAAAGGCTATGGTGTAGTGGAAATTATGGATATGATAAAGTTTAATAATCACCATCGCTGCGATCAACTTATTCATATTCCACCCGTTTTACAACTTTTGATAACTCTACACTGGTATGCACCTGGGTCATTCAAATTTAATGTAGGACATCCATCAGCAGAACAGTAAGAAATATAGCATGTACACAAGCAAACCATAATCCAAAGCCCTAGCATTCCCAACTGAGAATGAAATAACCGAAATTTAACGCGGATTCAACAATTTGGTTAATTTTGCAGGAATAATAGATTGTACCCAAATCCCAATACAATGTCCTAAAGGGCAACATGCTTAACTTTTCAGAATTTGCAAAAGATGGCATTCTTTAAATATTCAATTAATTGACGACAACAACCTGACAATACGTGATATCTAAGCAAAATGGTCTGGGGCTACATACTACACCAGAATATTTGACAACAGTGACATTTCCCTAATATTGGAAGAAATCCTGGGAGCAATTCAGAACGGAAATATAACATTTCTCATGCAACCATAAGAAATACTATTTAGGATTGTTTTAAAGAGCAGATTTCCATGTCTCTCTAAAACAATCCGAACTAATTTGGAAACAGCAATGGCCGTGATTGATATCACTGCCATTCTTCATAATTTAGAGAATGGAAATTGACAACATATTCTGTGCCCCATCCTAATCAACCAGACTCAACTGAATATCCAGGTATGACCCAACAGGGAAATCAGTGAGAAAAATAACTGATAGTTATACTTTTCGGACAATTATAATTGATAGATTTATGATGTCTGATTACTATCAACTATGTTTTCTTGACCCTTTTTGGATAAGTAAATCTGCAAGTTGTGACTTTTTTTTTGGAATCTCCATTTTAAGTGTTCTACTCGAGCGGCATCAATTTGGGTTTTGAGTAATTCTGTCTTTAGTGCATTTTCATCCTGCCATCGACAGGAAATCATACACGAAAGTTGAGGCCACACCGGGATTTCCAGAACTTACTGACTGGGACGTTTTAGATGGATGTTTGGTGCTTGGTTCTGGGTTTTCTTGGTCATGTGGTTCCGTGTCTACAGCTTGCATATGTTCTGGAATCATAGAGCAGGTTCCTTGACTGGCATCGTCTGACTTCTCTGCCACACTACCTACTTTTTTCCCTCTCAGGCTTTTCAAGGGCAACCGATTTTTTTAGCCTTCCTCCTTGAGTTGTTCCAACATTTTTTAATTAACTTAAATCGGGTTGAATTCTGGCATCGCACAAAAACGACTCTCTATTTTTTTTCAAGCCTTCTCCATTTTTTTTTATGCAAGTTAGATTAAATATATCAGTTGGCAGGTAGGATATGCTTTCTCCTCTAGACACCTGATACAATATTCAGTATGCAATACTAACTCACTTATGATTTATATACTTCCTCATGTGAAAAGTTCATTAGATGCTACCATTATTTAGTCGACATGTTGTTTTGGATTTCGGGATATGTTTTCCGGTTCGGGTCGTTAGTATTTTGGTTTATATATTAAAATCTCAGGCTAATAAAGATATCAGACATCAAGAAGAGATCTTTAAGGACCTGGAGGCATTCACTAACCGGGTCAAGAAATTTTTTTGATGTGATGCATGATTTGGGCAATTCATTCTCGGGTTTGCTTAGTATGCTTACACTAGACACAAGAACCATTGTGCACACAAGTTCTGCTGAAATGTTCCTTAGCTGCTTTCAGAGAATTATTCAATGATATGGTAAAAATATATATAAATAGATCAAAAAGAGCGTTGTCTTCTTTGACCAAAGAACAGCGACAGTGACACGAAGAAACATGTGCTCATAATAACTCCTTTTCATCTCAAGAAAGTGATCTGTCTATATATTTTTGCTATGAAAATCAGTCCACCAACACTGATTGAAGCAGGGGAAATCAACATTAGTTAGAAGTCACTGCTTGCACGCCATCATTTTTCCTCCTGATAAACAACCAGAATGTGATAGTGTTATGATTAGTTGGATTTGTATTACTTTTGTATTACCAAAGACATCCCAGACCTGTATATGTCCACGGAAAAGTTGGTTTATCTAAGGCACCAAAACCCTGCATCTGTTCTGGACATCGAACAGGTTCTGATGCATCTCTGCATCAGGCACCACCCAAATGAACTAAACTCTTCCTTTTTTGATTACGTAATTCACCAATTAGCTCTTTTAAGGTATTAATTTAATTTAAGGTATCTTTTGACCTTTTAAAGACTTTACTTCTCTGTATTCGCTTTACAGGAAAGCATTCCTAACACCACTTTTTGTCATTTGTAATTATATATCCTGTCATATTTCCTACGTTAATAGTCATTTCTATATATATTCTAGGCATATGAGAACCTAATTTCCTCCAGATAAGACATTATGACTAGTATTAATTTATTCTCATTTTCTTTGGTTTAATGAGACATGGAAAAAGCGTCTAGTCGTAAGGATGGGACAATAAACCGAGGCCCTATGTGCTACAGGTTATGCACTTTAAAGACAGTTGGAAATCGAAAAAGAGCAGGCTTATGCCGCTGTCCTGGCAAAATTTCCCTTACTGCACCTTGCATGGCGTTGCCCGCCCACATGGTGCAGAAAAGTAGGAAATTATTACTACTACAATATCTGTTAATGAACTATCTTGTATCCTCTTAATTTTCCATTTGCCTTCCAAATTACCTTTCATTCTTA